GAATTCCCAAACCTTATTTTTTTCGAGGTGGCCCTTTGCAAAAAGGTTGGGCCCGTTCCCGTGAGCCCTCTCCCCGGGCATTTCCCGAACCTGAGGGCTTTTTACAGGGAGGGCCCCGGTCCCTTTTAAAAAGAGGCATTTTTTCTTTTTGGGGCGGGTTTCCCGAGGTTTCTTTTTTTTGACCTCGGCAAGCAGGAACCTACCCCTGCATTTAGCTGCCGGGGGGGCCCCTCCCCCGGGAAAACCCGGGGGTTTCGGGGTTATGAGGGGGGATAGGAAAACCTCCCCGGGGGGGGGTTTTTTGGGGGGGCCAAAAGTTTTTTGAAATTCCGCTCCCTGTGGGTTTGGCCCCCCCCCCCCCCCCCCCCTCCAACGCACGCCAGCGCGCGAGCGTTCCGCGGTGTGAGTAGGTTGCCTATTGCAAGCAGCTGACCGACGCCGGCCTGAGCACCCTCGTCGCAGCTTGCCCGCAGCTGAGTACGCTCGACCTCAACAATTGCACTCTCCTCACGCAAACGACGCTCGAGGCCATAGCCGCGCATTGCCCCCGACTCCAGTCCCTCGACCTCGGTGGCCAGCCAGGCTCCGGCAGTGGCTCGCTTAGACCCCGTCCCTCACGCCCTCCCGACCCTCTGACACATTGCGGAGTAGGTTCTGGGCAGCGGCTCGCGACAGACGCAGGGTTGCTCGAGCTCGCCGCCGCTTGCCATGGTCTCCGCTCACTCAACATCCGCTACTGTTCCGACGTGTCGGCCGAGGCTGTCGAGCGCATCAAGGACCTATTGTGTGCCAACGTGCAGGTACGACAGTAGGGAGCCATCCTGCTCCTGGGGCCACTGCCCCCCTAGTCACTTCCTCACTCTATTGCTCATGCTGCCAGACAAAAGTAAGTCACTTCAGTGTCGCACAGCGTCGAGGTGTGCGAGGTGCGGTGTGCTCGGAGAGTTTATCTGATTTGCGGGAGACGGTTGTTCAGAGGTAAACGTCCATTAAGCTACGGGGTGTGGACCCTGTCCCTGAGTTGACCAGGGGTTGTGCGCTGGGCCCTCCTGTTCGGCTCCAGCCAGTAGACAAGTCTTGTCATCAACAGAGTAGATGGATCTGACCTCGGGGCCGATGTGACCAAGCGCTGGTACCGTGGTTTTACCTCCCACCCATGGTCTCACAGTGTGCCGGCAGTCGCCGAGCAGTGTCGCTCACACAAGCCGCAGCACAAGTGACTGAGGGCCAGTGAGGGCGAGCCCATCGCTGTCACAGCTGTGGCAGCCGCACAGTAGGCTGTGTCACCTGTGCAGAGTGTGTGAGCAGCAGAGGAGCTGCTCTCCAGGCTTCTGTCGCAAAGAGCTGCATGCCACCGAAAGCGCTGTCGAGGTTCGCCGAGCGCGGCGAAATCGAGGGACACCGCCACCGACGAGCGCGTTGGACTTTTCACTCCGGACAAAGACCGCTGCACAGCGGATGGTATGGGCCGTGCAGCGGTCATAGCGGCGAGGCGCGGGACCGTCTGTGGCGAAGGGGGTCGCGTCCCTCGATTTCCTCAACTCACGGTCCGCTCCCTCTACCTAGGTACGGCCGTACGGGCCGAGAGGTGCGCCCGGAGGCTTTGGCTGGGTAACCGTTTGCTGTTTGCAGGCTTGCTCTCTGGTCCGCCACTGAGCACTGTCCTCTCTGAGCGTTCGCGCAGCGAGTTCCGCGCACAGGGGTTGTGCGCCGGGCCCTCCTGCTCGGCTCCACCTCCAGCCAGTACACTCACAAGCAAGTGTCTATAATTATCATCAACAGAGTAGAGTCTAGAGAGAAGTCTATTCGTCAAGACTTCAAACGGAAGTAGAAAAGGATCTGACCTCAGGGCCGATGTGACCAAGCGCTGGTAGCGTACTCACACCCATGGTCTCACAGTGTGCCGGGAAAACGCTTTCAAGAGGCCGTATCGCGACCTCAACCCCGCGACCTCAACCCCGCGACCACGCCTCGACCTTCTTGGGCAGCAGCTGGTTCGACAGGTCCTCTCCGTGGCCCAAGCAGCCGTCCTTGCCCTCGCCCCAGGTAAAGACGGCGCCATTGGCGGTGAGGGCGAGGCTGTGGCGGGTTCCAGCCGACAGAGTGACGACGCGCTGGTCAGCCTCAAGGCCTCGATCTTCTTCGGCCGCGGCTGGCTCTGCAGGTCGCCGTGGCCCAGCTTGCCAAAGCCTCCACTGCCACAGCTCCAGACGGTGCCTTCGGCGGAGAGGGCCAGACTGTGCCACATTCCAGCCGACACGGCGACGACGCGCTTGTCCGTCAAGGTCTCGATCTTCTTGGGCAGCAGCCGGTGCTGCGTGTCGCCGTGACCAGCTCCAGACGCTGCCGTCGGCGGTGAGGGCGAGGCTGTGGTCGCTTCCAGCCGACACGGCGATGGCGCGCCGGCCAGCGAAGGCCTCGACCTCCTTGGGCAGCAACTGGGCCTGCTGGTAGCCGTGGCCCAACCGGCCCTCGCCTCCGTTGCCCCAGCTCCAGACGGCGCCATTGGCGGTGATTGCGTGACTGTGCTGCTCTCCAGCCGACACAGCGACGACGCGCTGGCCAGCAAATGCCTCCACCTCCTTGGGCAGCGGCTGGTCCTGCTCGTCGCCGTGGCCCAGCATGCCAAGGGCTCCATAGCCCCAGCTCCGGACAGCTCCGTCGGCGGTGAGGGCGAAGCTGTGCGCGTCTCCAGCCGACACGCTCACGGCGCGCTCGCCGCCCAGCGGGGAAGGGAGGCGTGTCGGCGTGTTGAGCCGCGTCACGCCCTCGCCGTGGCCGAGGAGCCCTGGGAATTCCTCCTCGTCGTCCTCGTCGTTCTCCTCGTCCTCCTCGCCCTCCACTGCCTCATTACCGCACGACGAGAGCCGCCCCTCGCCGTCGATGAAGACGCTGTGCCGTTGGCCTACCGCCGCCCTCGCCGGCGGGTTGGACTCGCACAGCAGCGCAGCGAAGCACAACCACCGCATGGCGCAGCCCTCGCCCTCTGGCTGCGCCGGCAGCTCGAAGCCACGCTCTTGCGCCCACAAGCGGATGCCCTCCACCGCGAGCGAAGCGTGGAAGAGGAGCGAGACGGCCGCGACGCGCGCGATGTCGGCGGGGTCGCAGCGAGAGAAGGCGCGCACGAGGAGCTCCGTGGGGAGGTCGAGGAGGCGGGCGGGCGGCGGCGTGTCTGGATAGGGGGCGGCGGTGGAGGCGGAGGCGAGGCGGCGCGACGGCGGCGAGGCAAGACATCGCGAAGAAAAGAATTTTAGAACCCGCTCCCCGGACTGGCGCGCACTGGCGCTAACACAGGTACACAGAGAAAGCGAGAAAATAATTCTGAACCCTCGCCGTTCATAAAAAGCACAAGTGAGGGCGAGCCCATCGCTGTTTAGGCTGAACAAGCTTTTCCTCTCGCACCCCGTCTCTTTTCCTTTCCTTTTTTCTCTACAGCACGCTCTCTTTTCCTCTCTATTTTCCCGGGGAAACCATCAAAATTTCCGGGCTCTGAGCCGAGTCTGAGGTTTGGGCCCAAAATCAGCCAAATCGGCAAAATACCGGGTATTTTGCGGGTATACCTGGAAAACCCCGGGTATACCTGGAAAATACCCTGCGACCGCCTGGGAATCGTGCCGATTTCCTCAATTTTGCGTCAGATTTTGCCCCAGACCAGCTCTCAGACTCAGGGAAACTCGCGAGTTTCCAGAATGGAGCACCAAACACCCTCTCTCTCTCCCTCTGTTTTCCCTGGAAATTTCCGGAAACGCAAAGTGCTTGCTGGGGACCCTCTGTTTTCCTTTTTGTTTGCCGGAAAAGCTTGTGCAGGCCAAATCGCTGTCACAGCTGCGGCAGCCGCACAGTAGGCTGTGCCATCTGTGCAGAGCGTGTGAGCAGCAGAGGAGCTGCTCTCCAGCCAGGCAGGCTTCATTCAGGCGCAATGAGCTGCATGCCACCGAAGGCGCTGTCGAGGTTCGCCGACTCTCTGGAAGGTGCATGCTACCTCCGGAAGAAGACGACCAATCTCGCTATTCGCATGGTGGTGTGTGTTCTCAAGCCCTAGGTTCGCTAGGCAGCTCCACGGGCGCACAAAAGAATTTTACAAACCGGCGTTTGCACTATACCATACTCCCTTGCGCGCGGGCGGCGGTGTGTGTGTGGGAGGGTGGGGCGGCGGCGGCGGCGCGGCGCGGCTCAGAGATGGCGGGAGATAGATCGCCCGAGATCGCGCGCTGAGGCACCTCGGGCATAATCTCGCGCGTATCTCGGACTCGGCGAGGTGGATGGGTTGGGGGCGAGGGGGCGAAAGTGTTTAGTGCGATGGAGTGATGCGTCATGTGTGTGTGTGTCCGCCTTGCGTGTGTTTCATAACATCGAAGGCGCTACCTCGACGCTCGAGCTCATACAAAAACGATAAGTCCCTCCACGCTAACCGCACTCCACAAGTGCTGGCCTCCAACCGCGGCGCCATGAAGTGTGCCCCTAGAGTGCTGCAGGAGCGTGTGAGTGTGTGCGGCAAGGGCGTTGACGGCGTGGCCCCCTCGGGGAAAGCGCGGTCATGTCCTTTTTGCCTGGCCGCGGGCGGTTGCGCGGGATATCCGGGATGATATCACGCACCGCGGAAAGAGACGACCGGCACAAAGATCGCAGGGCGGGGACCTGTTGCTGTTCCTTTTTACCCATCTCCAGAGAGGTGTCAGTTTTATTTATTTATTTGCGGGATATCTCAAAAATCGTTCAGACCGTCACCGAGCGGCGGACGGCGCCGAACAGCTTGTCAGCTGAGCATTCTCTCTGGCGATCCCTCTCAAAGTGGATAACGATGACTGTCGTGTCGTCGGTGCCAGGCCGCTTCTTGATCTCCTTCACCAGCTCGTTGCAGGCGCGCTGCGCATGCAATCGCGCCGGCCGATGAGTGGTGACGGGGATGGTGTGGGGAAGCATGTGGTGAGAGCACCTGTGCGCCAGAGTTGAGCCGGCCGATGAGGCGGGCGATGGTCCGGTTCTGCAACACGTCGAAGAGCCCGTCCGAGCCGAGGACGAGATATTTGTGCGTGGGGAGGACAGAGAAGGAAGCGCACGCCTAGGAAGTACCGGCGGGACTGCTGTTGGTGTGCGCGGGCGTGTGTCATCGACGTGGCTGTGCACAACGCCGGCAACGAGCTGAGGGCGCGTCCGCCGTCGCGGTCCTTCCACGGGAAATCGCCGAGCGTGCGGCTGGGGATGAGCGAGCCCCAAACGCGCCCGTCCGCAGATATCTCGCCGCCGCACTCAAGGATGCGCGCCCTCTCGGCCGGCTCGGAAGCGCGCTGGTCAGTGGTCAGCTGCTGGTATGTGTGCTCGCCGCTCACGAGCAGCGTGCGGCAATCGCCGACGGAAGCGACATGCAGCTTCGAGCCGCGCAACAATACGGCCTGAGAGATGAACCGTGAATCGTCTGAAAAGACTCGCTGCTGCTTTGGGTGGGCGACCCGTGACTTCGGGCGACCAACGCGCACGTCCCCGAGCGATCGGAAGTTCGGGTGTACGCGGCGCGCCTAAACGTGCAAGGGCACTGGGAGTGGCGAATATATGGCAGCACGCTGCAAGGCCCGATGCCACGCGCATCTCTTGCTCTGCAGCGGCGAACGCCTTCGCAAGGGCCGCAGCGGGCCTCTCCCGCCACGCCTAGCCGTTAAAAGCAATATTGCGAAAAAAGCACGTGGCGCCGCCTCGGTCTGCCAAATGTCTCGGAGGTCGCCTCCTCATCATGAGCGAGGAGAAGGTGAAGCCGGGTGGCTGCGAGCGAGGAGCAGTCGGAGCCGCCATGCCCATCGTACACCGCAAAAAAGGCGTTCGACGGAGGGATCGGCGAAGAGGGGGTTGGGGAAGAGCCGCGGGAGGCTGGGGCCGACGCCTCGTCGCGCATTCTCTCGCTCCGGCGGGAGGCACGCGATAGATCCTCGTTGAGATCGTACCGCACAGCATACCGGTCCTCGTTGGCGTGCGCCTCGAGACAGGGAAGATGGCAGCGGTGGAGTGCGGAGTGAAGCACGGTGCCGCAGTCGAGAGACAGGGGTGCGCGTGCCGTGGTGAGAGGAGGCGTATGTAGGGCGCAAAGAGTGGGCAAAGGGGCGGGCGGGCGGGTGGCGGCGGCGGTAGGGGGGGGGGGGTGATAGACGGTGAGCAGGAGTGACATGGTGGCGCCTTGTGGGCCCCTTGCTTCGAGTAGTGCGCCGCCTACATCTCGACCATACTCTCGGTTCGCTCGGGTATCATCGGAACTGGCTTTGAGGGGTGCGCCGGCCGACACTGCGAGCGGGACGCGCTCGCTCAGCTCAACTGCCTCCGAGCCCCACCAGACACGACCAACCTCCTCATCCGCCGCCTCCGCCGCCTCCGCCGCCGCCGCCGCAGCTGTCGCCAACGCCGCCACCACCTCGACCGCCCCAGCGGCCTCCGCACCCCGCACCTCCTTCGCGGCAGCTGCGCGTGCTGCCTGTTCGACGGTGCCACCCTCATCCACTTGGGCCTCGACGAGCTCCTCAACTCCGTCCTGGGCTTCGTCGTCGCTGGCCTCGCTAGAGGGAGAACCGTCGCTATCACTGCTCTCGCCTAAAGAGGGGGAGTGGAAGTCTCAATGCGCTGACGAGTCGCCTCGTTCCCGCGCGCTTGCTCTCGCCGAGCAGCGCAAATGCCGTGCCGGCCGACTGCACTCGCCGCGCTGCAGCAGCTTTGCGCGCTATTGCCGCCGCCTCGGCCTCCAAGCGGGCGCGCTTCCTTCGCTCCTCGGCTGCTGCCGCCTCTACTGCTGCCGCCTCTACTGCTGCCGCCTTGGCCGCCGCCTCTGCTGCCGCCGCCTCTGCGGCTGCCGCCCTTGCTGCCGCGGCCTCAGCTGCCGCTGCCTCAGCTGCCGCTGCCTCTGCTGCCGCTGCCTCTGCTGCCGCTGCCTCTGCTGCCGCTGCCTCTGCTGCCGCTGCCTCTGCTGCCGCTACCTCCGCTGCCGCCGCTGCTGCCGCCGCCGCCGCCGCCTCAGCAACCGCAACCGCATCCTCCTCCGCCGGGTCCGCGTCCACGCGCGCACCTGCTGTGGTTGCACCACCCGGACCGCCTCCCCGCTTCTGGCGGCCGCCCTTGCCCTTGCCTCTGCCGCCGGTTCGCCCGCCGCCTGGACCGCCTCCTCGCCCGCCGCCTCCACCGCCACCACCCGCACCACCACCGCCGCGCCCGCCGACTCCGCCGCCGCCACCGCCCGCATCGCCGCCGCCTCGCCCGCCGCCGCCTCGCCCGCCGCCTCGCGCGTCGCTTCGCCCGCCGCTTCGCCCGCCGCCTCGCCCGCCGCCTCGCCCGCCGCCCGCGAGGCCTCGACTGCCTTTGTGCCCGGCGGAGCTTGGAATGCCGTTGCTGGCGCCACGGCCGACTCCCGTCCCGAGCGGTCGGCTGTTGCCTTTTGCTGCTCGGGCCACCCGTCTCCCTGCGGCGACCTCAGCCTCGTCAAGCCTGCGCCGGCCGCTGCTCGGCGAGGTCGCTGGTCCCATGTCGTCGACGACCATGTCGCTGAAAGAGCTCAGGGCCCAGAAGAATTTTCGGGCATGTCGCCGGTGGTTGGGTCGATCTCAGACGCTACAAGTACTCGGGCTTGCCCTTGAGCCCCTTCGGCATCTCGCAGTACCAGGTCTCGCCCTCCCCGCGCTCCGCCCAGGTGTACGCCATGGGCTGGTCGCACGTGATGAGCTCCATGTCCTCCTGCGCGGCCACGTTGAGCACGGTGCGGGTCGTGCCGTAGCGGACGACGCTCGCGAAGGTCTTGGTGAAGTCGACGCTGGGCCGCATCAGGTTGCCCATGACACATCCGCGCCACTTGCACCGGCCGTCGGACTTCTGGGAGGCGATCTCCTTCAGCGGGAGGACGCGCACCTTGGCGGGGCGGCGCATGGGCTTGAGCGTGCCGTTCTGGATGAGGCCGAGGAACTCGGTGTCATACGCCTTGTACCACATGTCGCGCAGCTTGGGGTCGCTGATGTTGGCGATGTCCTTGTAGTGCTTGGGCACGATGTTGTCCGGCATGTCGCGTAGCACGGTGCCGCCCCAACGACAACCTCAGCGGTGTATGTGAGGTGACGCTCTCCGGACAAGTCGCGAAAGCCGCCTTCGGCATTCGACCAGGCGTCATCCGTCACATGCACCTTCTCGCCTGGCTGGAGGTCTGCCAATAGGAGAAGCCCAAAGCGCACGCGGTCGCCGCTGTCGTTCCAGACGACGCCGACCGTCAGGCAGTCTCCCGGTTGAAGCGGGCGCACGGCCGTGACGCTGATGCACACTAGGAGGCGATGAAATACTCTCCTCGTCATTAGCCGTAACATTCACCCGGTGTGGCGCAAGGATTTACGAGCGAGCGGCGTGCTTGGTGTCTGGGAGTGAAAGGTTGGTGCTGACAGTGCCGCGGCCACCCCCCACCCCCCCGAGAATTTTTTCTGGGAGGTGCCCATTCGGAGCTGCCTGAGGCCTACGTGTTGAATACAAATACATGCATTCACACAGAGGTCTGCCAGGAGCCTGAATACTGTACTCGCATAGTGTGGGTAACTCGAGGTGGGTAAACCATAAAAGTAGGTTTGAATACGCCCACGTAAGGCTTGGTGAGTGGTTGGGGTGGCCTCAGGCATCCCCAAGGGAGCCTCTGCGGTGCCACATAAGCAGCTTAGTGATTGTCGAGACTTTAAAGGATTCGTTTGAAGAAACGCAAAACAAGACAGACACTACTATGGTCACCAGTAAACCATAATTCGACTTTGAGGGATCATATCTCAAAAATCCGGGAGATAGCATCGCATTATTGTTGCATATTATGCCACATAAGGTCAGACTTGACCCCACAAGCATCAAGAACCCGATGCTCCGGCTCGACTGTGCCGGCACACTGCCTCCTTGCGCCTGCTGCCAGCAGCCGTCGCGGCCCGTGGTGCACCAGAGAGAGAGGTCGACGCGTTGCCCCCGCCGGCGACCCCGCGCGGCTCAGGCCGGCCAGAAGGTGTGTGGTGACGGCACCGTGGCAGGAGTGCGGAGAAGAGCTCGCCGAACGCGAGCAGCAGATGGCCAAAGTGTGCCAGCGCGAGAGCCTCGCGAACGGGTGCAGAAGGAGCTTGCCGTGACACGATGCCGGGCGGTGGTGGTGCTCCGGCGACTGTGCACAGTGGGCAAAGCCAGGCTGCAGCAGGGCAGCACGATGGTAGTGCCCTGCTGCAGCCTGGCCTGACATGCACAGGGCGAACAGAGACACTACTATCGTCTGGCGCTCGTCACCGAATCTGGGCGAACTTCGACCGCCGCCACAGCTCGCCACGAGCACGCAGCGACAAAATGTTGACTGTACGGAAGTTGAGGCTGGTCCAGAGGAAGAGGCTGCCGTGCGAGCCGGCAGCAGGCTGGCTCGGCGTGGACTGCCATCGCGACTTTAATGGGCTTCTCTGTTCATAGTAGCGTACTAGCAGACCTTGCGCGCACGCGCGCCAAATTTGTTTTTCTGTCTGCAACAACAGCCCGAGGGGTGAAATGTCTTTGTTGTCTCTGTAACGAAGGGCCCGCCGCTCCGCCTACGCCGGCGATGACCCTCTCGGCAGAGCGACATCGCGACACGCGAGCACCGGGCAGAGAAGGGGACGCAGAAGCGGTTGGATGGAGAGGCCGCCGGCGCACGAGAGGCAGCCGATGGAGCCGACGAGGTGAGTAGACACGAGTTTACCATTCTGCCGGGGGGGGGGGGGGCGCAAGCCCTCCCCACCCACTGCTACTCTGTACTGCATGCAACTCAGCAGTGGTCGCAAGCGTCGCAAAGGGCAGGGAGGCAGCCTCGCGCGCTGTCGAACGCCCCCCCGGCCCAGACAGAGGCATCACAATCTTGCTCTGGCCAGCGTCTGGTGGCTCGGCATTGCGCAACACACGCCGCAATCAGCCTGAGAGCAGATGATGGGGTGGGCGCGGGTGGACGAGAGTGGAGCCGAGTTGGGTGGGAGAGGGAGCACGCACGTGCAGCGGTGCCGAGAGTGGGTTGAGATGGCACCGCCTGCGGCCGCCCGGGCGACGGCTTGCGCAGGTATGTTGTTCATGTCCTTCTCCGCCGCCGCTTGGCTGCAGCAGCCAATGACGCCGCCGCCCGCCTTTGCGAAGCGGCGTCTGGACGCGCTTGGCGGTTGACGCCGGCCCGCCACTGCGCCTCGTGCGCGTCCACCTCCGTCGAGGTCGACGCGTCGAGATCGGAGCGCATCACCGAGACGCCAGAGCCCGCCTTCGCCGACATGATTCCCCGCCGGAGAGCTCGGTGAGTGTGCCGTCGCCCGAAACGGAAAACCGGACACGGGAAAATATAAGGTAAGATGCGCTACTATGGTTTACCCACATTATGCGAGTATTCAAAAGGCGCGCGGCGCCGGAACACGTACGGAATACAAGCAGCCGCCGCCGCATGGCCTCGTTGTATGCCGCCAATTTAATTTTTGGCTCTCCGGAGTCAAGTGTCAAGGTCTACTTCCAGCACATTCTTCTGATATAAGGCCGGGGATCTTTGATTTTTGAGTTTATCCTTCATTTCCTCATCAGGGTGCACTGGAGCTTTCGGCGGCTCCAACGGATGCTTCCCACTTGGCGGCCTGCTCTGACAAAACATGAAGACGCCAGCCTCCCACACGTGCCGCGCCAGCTCGACCCCTTTATGGACAGCGGGCATGCCGAATGTCCGCCATTCGCCAACGATGCAGAGAGCCGCACGGCCCACACGGCCTGGCCGTTCCGCCGACTTCCTCTCATGCCCAGCACGCCACTGCCCACTGCGGCCAATCAGAAATCATGACCGGCTGCGTGCGCGAGCGGGCGGCGGCGGCGGCAGAAAAAGCGACGACCGACGTGAGCCATGTCCGGGCAATCGGCGGTCTGGTGGGGTACAGGCAAAGAATTACGCCAAGAATTTAAAAAAAAGCGGCGAAAAATACACCCACGGTCCACACCGCGTCATGCAAAGGTCGGGGGAGCCGCACCCACCGCACCCTTGTGCGACCGCAATAGGTGGAGCAAAGGACCGAGAGCATGCACGCCGTGTGGTCTGCGGGTTAACATAATCTGGGAGTTGTTGAAGGCTGTTTGGATGTCGAAGTAACTGTCAGACCCCCTTTCGTGCCAAACGAGCGTGGGCTTGCGCCACAAGGCTGCCAAGCGACTCGCGCCACCTTGCGAAGCGACAAACGCATCGGCTTGCGACATGAAGCACAGCTGCTGCTTCAAATCCCAGCGCCGACCACTCGATGCCGATACGTCGCTCAAATTGTGCCGGCGCAGCCAGGTCGCCTCCGCCTCCCACTCCAAGACGTGGTCCCGCTTCTTTTCCACGCTGTCCCTGTCTGCGCGGTGATAAAGAACGTAATACCCTTTCAATAAATGCGTCAGCCCCTCGATGGGAACGTGATTGGCCGGAGGCGCTCCCCATTCGAGCGCATACTTTTGATGAACGAAGAGGACTGGCTTGGGGGACACGATTCGCCGACAGGATCCGGCAACCGCCGACTTGACGCCTTCAAGGTACTCGTCGTCGAGAGGAGGGCGCAGCGTGTACCCGTGGTGACAGCTACTCCCTTGCAGCTCCGGGACCCAGCCATACTGGAGTCCGCAAATCCGGTTTCTGTCAGTGCGCACGCAGCTAATCACGCGGTGCTCGGCAAACCACCAGAGCGGCGCTGAGTTTGGTTTGTCGCAAACGCTGACGCGCACATGTTTTCGGCAGCGCTTGAACAACCACCATCCATGGGGAAGCCCAAACTGGAGCTCAAAGCCAAACTCGTCGTCGAGGGGTCCCAACGCTACGACAGCCGCGCGTGGGCAAGCTCGAGCCGCGGCAATCATCGACTTGGTCACGTTGGCCATGCGAGATTGACCGGAGCAAGCGTCGGGCACAACGATCGAAGAGAGGAGCCCGTCAGAGCCGCGCGAGGAATAGGCGAAGGCCCCGCCGCTCGCGCCCGCGATGAGGCAGATGAAGACGGTGCAGAGCACGTTGTGCCAGCAGAGCTTGGGCCACGAGAGCCAGCCGGAGGCGGAGACGGAGCCCTTCGGTGTGGCAGTCGTGGTCGTCTTGTTGCCCTTCTTGGGGGCCTTGGGGTTGACCGTCTTGGGCTTGACCGTCGCGCCCTGAATAGGGGCGCGAGAATGGCTGTGAGCGGAGAGCAGTTGGCGGAAGCCGCACAGGCGGCGAGTACCGATTTTGTGGCTGACGGCGTGCATCCGCGGGTCGCCTTGGAGGGCACCTTGCCGTCGTTGCCACCGACGATGCCCTCGCTGCCGCCCGCCCCGAGCAGGGCCCCGTACCCGTTGCTGCAGTCGATCGGGGCGGACGCCTCCTTGCGCTCGTTGTTGCGGCGCGACTTTGAGGGGGTCATCCACTCCGAGATGCCCTGTGCGCGAGCTGGGCGCGTCAGCAGACGTGGGCGCAGGCTCCGATTGCAGCATGCGAGGCGCTCGCCGCCGGGGCGCGCTTCTCCTCTGGAAACTCCTTGGCCGCGGCGGTCCAGTCGGCGTCGCCCTACGTAGCGGGGTGGGGTCAAGGAGTGGGTCGGCAGGCGCACCGCACGGCGCAGAAGAAGGCGCTCGCCGCCGGGGCGGGCTCCGGAAACTCCTTGATCGACGGCAGCGTCTCGCCGCCGGTCGCCGCCGGCTTGAGGGCCGTGGCGACCTTGGTGGCCGCCTTGAGCGCCGGGTTCTTGATGGCGCCGGTCTCGTCAATGGAGGCCTCCGCCGCAGGGATGTCCTTCTTGAGGGCGCCCATGACGGTCGGGCGCGCAAACTTGGCCTTGGCCGTGTCCGAGTCGACCGCGCCCGCGTCGGGCGCCTTTTCCGCGGCCGGGTCCTTGAGAACGTTCTCCGTGCCAGTCCTTGCGACGGTGATGTTGACGTTCTTGACGCCGCAAGCCTGTGGGCGAGGGAGAGAACGCGCAGGCTTTCGGAGACGGGAGAGGGATGATGAATACAATCCTGGCGTGCGCACGCGCACCTTGGCTTCGAAGAGCGAAGGCGACACCGACGCGGAGATGACGAGCGTGATGCGGCCGTCGTCAGCCGGCACGATTCCGACCTTCGCAAAGGACTTCATCGGCGACAACTCGCCCGCGACGTTGCCGTCCTTGAGCGGGCCGGGCTCGCCCTGGCCCTCGGACGGGACGTTGTCGGTGCCGGTGCTGGCGGTGCCGGTGCCGCCGGTGCCGGTATCGATGCCATCCTTGAACGAGACGGGCTCGGAGGGGATGCCGACGGCGTTGCCGCCGCCAGAGTAGCTAACGGTCGTGTTGTCCGCCAGAGACGCCTGTCAGCCACAGAACGCAAGAGGATAGTCTTGCAGGGAAAGAGTCTTGCAGGTAAAGCGCAGCGTTGCGTGCGTTGCAGCGGTGCGCGTGCATACCCCCTGCTCCTCAGCCACTGCAAATTGCACACCTGCTTGTCAGCAAGCGGCGGAGGAGAGAGCTTGAGCACGAGCTTGTCACCGGCGGCCGGCACGAACTCGAGTTTGAGCATATTGATCGAATGAATTCCTGCACAGTGAGTCAAGAAGCGGTTGAAGGTGTGGTGTCCCCAATGGCGCGAGTGCAAGCCAGAGCGCTCGAGTGGCCCTAGCGGCTGCGGACACAGAATCGCTAGAGAGTGGGGCGGGGGGGAGGTGTGGTGTGGTGTGGGAGTGTGGGGAGGGGTGGGGTGGGCTGGGCTATAAAGGCATATGAGAAAATCTCGGGCAATCTCGGGCAACCTCGCCTAAAAAGACAGACAGAAATCAACACGCCCGCGCGCCGCAGCAGGAGAGGAGACTAACGGGTTGACTTGACCGGGAAGGGTCGAGCCTGAGAGAGTAGAGCTGCGCCTACGGGCAGCACGCCGCGGCGTGAGCGTCGCAACGACGACAGGTTAGGCTGCCGACACACTCTCACGCGTCCACGGCGCTCAGACTGGAGCCGGGCGGCAACTGTGGCGAGCGAGCGGGCTTTGGCCGGTAGAAGGGCGGTCCGAGCTGGCTGGCGCGGGACCAGGGTGGCGAATGGGCAGCAGCGGACGCGTCTCGCGGCTCCGCGATGGAGGCCACCTGCGGGCGATGGGTGCAGGCGGTGCCAGGCTGAGGGGGGTGCAGCTGCTTGTGCTGCTTGTTGCGGCGAGCGAGAGGGCGCGCATCTCCGAGGTGATGACTGATCACGTCTCGCTGCAGCGCATGGGATGGGGGGCGAAGCGGCTGGGCACGCTCGCGCAAAGGCCAACACGCGCCGCGCCGCGCGGGGCGCGGGGGCGGGGAGAGGAGGGACAGAAACCTGAAACTCCTGTTTCTAGCGTGCAACAACCAGGCGCCGTGGCTTCGGTGTGAAATTGGAAACATTCAAACAAGAACTTCCTTGCAGCAAAGGCCGCCGGCACGCTCTATCGCGTCCTCGGCACTCGGACTGGAGCCGGGGCGGCGATTGGCGGGCGAGCAAGCGAGAGCGGGTCGCTCTCTTGCCAGAAAGAGGGAGGGCGGTCGCGTCGCGCGACCGCAAAGACGACGGTGGCGGCCTGCGTGAGGCTAGTGAGCACGATGGGGTGTGGGAATCCGGAGGTGAGGAGGTACTTGTTGTTCAGGATCAGCAGCGGACCAGGGTGTACAGCACGCATACACCCACGGTGATGGTGATGTCGACAACGCTGCCACAGCGCCAGCTCTGCTCCTGCGCCATCGGAGCTGGCGGGACGCTGACATCCTCGCCGCATTGCGTCCACCTTGCGCAGCGGCTGCACCTCCTCCATGCGAAAGGGTCCCTTGGCAGCAGCACCCACCTCCCCCCTTGGCTTTACTCCGGGGGCGTCTTGTTGGAGAAGGAATTGATCACGCAAGCGGACTACGAGGAAAAGAAGGCGCAGATCCTCGCGCGCATGTAGTGCGTCGCGGTCGGGATGTTGACGCACGGCAAACCCAGCGCGCCCAGTTCGCCCACCGCCAGGTCGGGCAGCAGGGCGGGTGGGCAGACGGCGCCGCTCATGTGCATGCCGCCAGAAAAAAGAACGGGGCGACGCGCGTTCTGGCACTAAAGGAGGGCCCTTGGTCAACTCACCCTCGCTCGCCACACCCTGTACAAGAAAAGAAGAGTAGTGTGACATTTTTTGTATATTCCTCTGCTCAGGGCTGTGTCGTGTGTGTTTCTTCCCATGTATTGTTTTTTGAATTCTTTTAGACGACATGGAGCAGGGGAGGGAGGATGCCCCGCGAGCCCGAGCATCCGAGGGAGGCAGGCTGCAGGGAACGGCTGGAGGCGATTCGAGGAGGCGGTACGGAGGAGCAAGCGCTTCTCTCTCTCGCTCACGGCCCGCCTTCTGAGCTCGCTGCCTCGGCCTCTCGGCCACCCACCTGGGGCTTGTCTTGTGCGACACGACGACGACGCACACCTAGAGCCACGCCGCCGCCTCTCGGCCGCCGCCGCCCCGCGCTCTTCCCCCCCCCTTGGGCCGCAGAGCAGGGCTGCCGTCGACGAGGGCCCGCACCCCGTGGCCAGCTCGGCGGGCGAGGGCTTGAGCGGCGCTTTGCTACGGAGTACGGTGCTTGGCGGGAGTCAGGGTGCGACACCGAGCCCTCTCGCTCTGACCGTCGAGGATCGGAGTCAAGCCTGACGGTTCGCGCTCTCTCCTCCCGCACAGAGTTCGCATTCACGGCCGTAGCGCCGCTACTACCCACCATGACGACGGTGGGGTCGGGGGTGACGATCGGTAGTCCGGCGATCTCGAGTGCTGGTGGCGGCCGATCCGGTCTCGAGGGGCCGAGAGCTCCATGCTGCCGTCGAGTCGAAATCGACATGCAGCTCGATGGTTCGCCCGAAAAGGTACGTTGGTTCTCTCGACGCGACCGCCAGTGTGGTGGAGAGAGACTCGACAGGATTCGCGCCTTTCGCCGAGAGCAGTGTTGCAAACGTGGAGCTGTGCGGAGAAGCGCGTAGCGTGCCGCCGGCACGCGTCCGATGGCACATCCTGGCAGCACCTCTCACGAGAGACCGCGTCCCAGACACTCTGATCCGGCCTCACACGGCGCAGCTCCAGCGTGATTTGGGCGCCTGCGCGCATCTCGGGGTCGCTCACACACGCTAGGTTCCCTTCGGAGAGAGCCACAGAGTCGCATTCGCACGCTCCGGATCCTCTTAGAGCAAACTCCGAGAGTCTGAGTGACTGGCTAGAGAGACGACCACGATACAGTCATCAAACAAATTTTAATTTGAAACTTAACTTGGAGCACTTGGAGTGCAGTCATCAACCGCACATCCAGGGCCGGGGAGCTCAGAAGCGCACCCAGCGGGCCGGATGATTGGCATCGGGTTGCGGGCAAGAGAGCCCTAGCCCTGGGGGTGCGCGTTCGCAGGGAATTATGGGAAAGGGCCGTAAAGTAAACACAGGTCTCCGAGGGTTGGCTCCGTGTACCGGGTTTCCCCTTAACTTCAGAACGCCCCCTCTACTCGGAGCTAGTAGACACGCCACTGTACACCACGCACGTACACAGGTCCTCACTCAGCATCCCGTATCAGCCTGGCACCGCCTGAATACCCAGTTACGGCCGCTGCCAGCCGTGAGACGCGTCCGCTGCTGTCCATTCGCCACCCTTGTCCCGCGCGAGCCCGCGCCGGACCGCCCTTCCTGTCTTCCGGCCACAGCCCGCTCGCTCGCCAGTCGCCGCCCGGCTCCAGTCCGAGCGCCGTGGACGCGACAGACAGCGCGTGCCGGCGGCCTCGTCTCGACGCTCACGCCGCGGCGTGCTGTCCCGTAGGCGCAGCTCTACTCTCTCCGGCTGAACCTTCCCGGTCAACAAGCTTGCGTTAGTCCTGCATCGCGGCACGTCGAGGTTTGATTTCTTTTTCTGTCTTTTAGGCGAGATTGCCCGAGATAGCCCGACATTTTTTTACATGCCTTCATAACCCGCATAGCCCCTCATAAACAGAGGACATCTTCTTCGACTCTCGTTTCTCTCCTTTTCATCGCGTAGGCGGGTCCTTTCCGCTGCGCTGCAGCTGCGCAGAGGTTAGATCGACCCCCCAGCCGAGACTGACACAGGATTGCCTCGGCTGTGGCGATTAGTAACTGATTCTCACTCAGAGACGTGAAAAAGCAGCAAGTCCTCGCCGCCCACTGTAGTACGTAGTCATTCATTCTCACTCATTAATATGGTACGCCCCGTGGGCTCTGGCTGGCCTCTTCAACCTAATCATTGCCTGAGAGCCTCCCCGAGATTATCACAGTACTCAGTCCGCCGTCAGTAGTCCGCAGTAATCGACAGTACAAGCGTGTAATCCGCAGTAGTCGACAGTACTAATGCGCAGTCTGCAGTAGTAGTCGCAGTAGTTGGTGCAGCAGCTGCAGCGCTGTACTGGGCGACTCATAATAATCAATAGTCATTAATTATCGTTCATAACGTGCAGTAGCGCACAGAAATAGCGTGAAATCCGCATTAGTCGATAGTAATAATGCGCAGTAGTCCGCAGCAGTAGTCCGCAGCAGTAGTCGCACTAGTTGGGCAGCAGCTGCAGCGCTGTACTGGGCGCCTCTTAATGATCAATTAGTTATTGAGGCCGTGCCGCTACCGGGCGCCTTACAATCTTTCATATTCATCCGGCCGATAATGCGCAGTAGTCCGCAGCAGTCCGCAGCAGTCCGCAGCAGTCTGCAGTCCTAATTATGTGTATGCGCAGCAGTACGCATTAGCAATAATCCGCAACAGTCCGCAACAGTCCGCAGTAATCCGCAGCATCCGTTCCGCGGTACTGCGCAGTAGTCCGCAGCATTAGTCCGCAGTCAGTAGTCTGTAGTGATCCTCAGTAATAGCGTGTATCGGCAGTAGTGACAGTACTAATGCGCAGTCTGCAGTAGTAGTCGCAGTAGTTGGTGCAGCAGTTGCAGCGCTGTACTGGGCGACTCATAATAATCAATAGTCATTAATTGAGAACTTGCAGTCCACAGAAATCGTGATAGTAATAATGCAGTACTCTGCAGTAATAATGCGCAGCAGTGCGGTAGTAGTCCGCGGAAGTCCGCAGCATGTGTCGCACAGCGGTCTGCAGTAATCCTCAGAGCATGTTTAGCCTGCAGCAGCTGCATACGTAATAGTTATTAGTTCATAATTGATGATTGCTTTTATACTCGTCCGGCCGTATTGACGCATTGGCGTGCGTATCTTGCACTGCAGGCTAAACATGCTCGAAAAGCTCAAACTCGAGTTCGTGCCGGCCGCCGGTAACAAGCTCGTTCTCAAGCTCTCTCCTGCTCCGCCGCCGCTTGCCGACAAGCAGGCGTGTGTTTGCGTGCACGTGGCACTACGCTTCTCGCAAGAGTCATCCTCTCGCCTTCTGGCTGACACAGGTGTCGCTGGCGGGCAACACGACCGTCAACCCTCCCAGAGGCGAGGCCGCCGGCATGACCTCGCGCGCAAAGTCGCGCGCGGCAGCGTTGACCGCACGGCCTACTCGCCCAAGTACTCGCTCTCTTTTATGTCCCACCATGCAGAGCGCATCTCTCTCTCTGTTGTGCGAGGCGTGAACCGCGCCATTCGCTCTCACCTGGCAACCCTGTCTGCACGTCTCGCGCGCGCGTGAACAGGGCTCCAGGCCCCAAATTACGTGTGAGTGTTAGAGTTGTTTGGTATTGCTAAAAATCTCTCTCTCTGGTGTGTGTCGTCGTGGTTTCGTATCAAGAATACTCACTCACTCACTTGCATGTCTGACTGTCTGTGTGCGATTTTGGGCCCGGGCTTGTGCGTTTATGTGAACAGGGCCTCCAGGGCTCGCACCTCAACCTCTCACAGACCAGCGCACAGCGCCTTACGACGTAATTTCTTCACATAAGGAAGGCTGTGAACAGACGCGGTCCTTGCCCCGTAGCGCGGCGCTCGAGATATATATATGTCCCATCGGGGCGAGGAGCGTCGCTGGCGTGATGAGCAACGGCGCGCCGAGTACGAACGCGAAGGGCGGCGATGGCGGGACGAGTCGCGACGGCGGTCGCGATCGCGCGATGAGCCGCGGCGGGATGAGCCGCGACGGCGCGACAAGCGTTGGCAAGGCGAGCAATGGCAGCACCATGACGGGCGGCACGAGGAGCGGCGCGGCTACAACGATTCTTGGCGCAGTGGTCGCGAGCAGCGATGGCACGCTGAGCGATGGCGCGATGAGCAATTGCGAGGCGAACGATGGCCGCATCATGACGGGCGGCACGTCGAGCGGCGCGGCTGCAACGACCGACCAAGCATAGGCGAGCGCGAGCACGACTTGTGCGATCGGCGCGATGATCGGTCCCACGATCCCAGGCGCGACCATGACCGGTGCGACCGCCGCGGCGAGGGGCAGCCTCAGCACAGCGACCGCCGGTCGAGTCCGCCGATGCGTGGTGCGGGATTGCGCGACGAGAGGCACACCTCTGCTGCCGGTGGTCAGCTCAATGCTAAGGAGATCAGTGGCCATATCTCGCATGCCAGCGGCGCCGACGAGCTCCTTGCGCTCTTTGCTGCCCACAGCGCGAGCTTGAACCACATCCACGCTGCGAACCTGTGGAACAAACTGGGCAAGCAGCGCATCGAGCGGTGGCACGAGGAGCGGCTTGAGCAGCTGGTGCAGCGCACGCTGGACCTCGTCTCTTCGTGCGACGCACGGGGACTGGCAAACATCGCTCACGGCGTTGCAAAGTGCGGCCGGCGTTCGGGGGTGGAGCGCGCGCTGTACGCGGCGGTGGCGGAGGAGGCGGTGCGCAGCGGGCTGGCTGGCTTCAACCCTCAGGCACTGGCCAACACGGTGTGGGCGTATGCGACGGCGGGCGTGGCTGCGGACGCGCTGTACGCGGCGGTGGCGGAGGAGGCGGTGCGCGGCGGGCTGGCTGGCTTCGTCCCTCAGGCACTGGCCAACACGGTGTGGGCGTATGCGACGGCGGGCGTGGCTGCGGACGCGCTGTACGCGGCGGTGGCGGAGGCGGCGGTGCGCGGCGGGCTGGCTGGCTTCAACCCTCAGGAACTGGCCAACACGGTGTGGGCGTATGCGACGGCGGGCGTGGCTGCGGACGCGCTGTACGCGGCGGTGGCGGAGGCGGCGGTGCGCGGCGGGCTGGCTGGCTTCAACCCTCAGGACCTGGCCAACACGGTGTGGGCGTATGCGACGGCGGGCGTGGCTGCGGACGCGCTGTACGCGGCGGTGGCGGAGGAGGCGGTGCGCGGCGGGCTGGCTGGCTTCAACCCTCAGAACCTGGCCAACACGGTGTGGGCGTATGCGACGGCGGGCGTGGCTGCGGACGCGCTGTACGCGGCGGTGGCGGAGGCGGCGGTGCGCAGCGGGCTGGCTGGCTTCAACCCTCAGAACCTGGCCAACACGGTGTGGGCGTATGCGACGGCGGGCGTGGCTGCGGACGCGCTGTACGCGGCGGTGGCGGAGGCGGCGGTGCGCGGCGGGCTGGCTGGCTTCAAGCCTCAGAACCTGGCCAACACGGTGTGGGCGTATGCGACGGCGGGCGTGGCTGCGGACGCGCTGTACGCGGCGGTGGCGGAGGCGGCGGTGCGCGGCGGGCTGGCTGGCTTCAACCCTCAGGACCTGGCCAACACTGTGTGGGCGTATGCGACGGCGGGCGTGGCTGCGGACGCGCTGTACGCGGCGGTGGCGGAGGAGGCGGTGCGCGGCGGGCTGGCTGGCTTCAAGCCTCAGAACCTGGCCAACACTGTGTGGGCGTATGCGACGGCGGGCGTGGCTGCGGACGCGCTGTACGCGGCGGTGGCGGAGGAGGCGGTGCGCGGCGGGCTGGCTGGCTTCAACCCTCAGGCCCTGGCCAACACGGTGTGGGCGTATGCGACGGCGCGCGTGGCTGCGGACGCGCTGTACGCGGCTGTGGCGGAGGCGGCGGTGCGCGGCGGGCTGGCTGGCTTCAACCCTCAGGCCCTGGCCAACACGGTGTGGGCGTATGCGACGGCGGGCGTGGCTGCGGACGCGCTGTACGCGGCTGTGGCGGAGGCGGCGGTGCGGAGCGGGCTGGCTGGCTTCACCCCTCAGAACCTGGCCAACACGGTGTGGGCGTACGCGACGGCGGGTCACTACCATCAGGTCCTACTTGCCGATTGCTCGCGCGTGATCAGCGACTCGCTCGCGCAGGATCCGTCGAGGTGGGGCGTCGGGGACCGCTCTCAGCTGCACCAGTGGCAGCTCTGGCTCTCCCTTGAGCGAGGAGCAGACGGGCAGCAGCACCTCCTCTCCGAGTCCCATCGCAAGCTCTGCTGCGACGCTATGCAAGTCACGCAAGTGACGATCTCTGAATTCCAACGCTCCGTCGCGGCTGCCCTCGCCGCCGTCCAGCACGGTTTCGAGGAGGAGCATCTCGAGCCGCGCACCGGCTACTCGCTCGACCTGGCGCTGCCCTCTTCACGCGTCGCTGTCGAGGTGGACGGCCCGACTCACTTCCTGCTGCCCGACGGCCGGGGCGTGCGCAAACCCAATGGGCCAACGCTGCTCAAGCGGCGCCTCCTCGCGGCGGCTGGCTGGAGGGTGATCAGCGTTCCATTCTACGAGTGGGACGGCTTCGCGACGGCCAATGAGAGGCACACCTACCTGGAGAGGGCGGTCGCCCCGCTGTTGGGCTAGTACTGTGCCGCCACGAGCGCCGCGACCACCTCGCCACGCTCCTCGACCGAGAGCCGCCTAAACGCCGCCTCCGCGGCCGCCCCACGCGCGCCGAGACCCTCTGGCCTCGACAAGAACAGATGGGGTAAGCGGGCCGCAATCCCGTCCGGAGCGGATAGATAGAAAACAAGAACAAGTCTCTCACATGACAATGCTTGGGTAGGGGGTGCGGTGCGTACCAAAATCCACCAGTGTGGAATTTCGCGCAATCGCTTGACTCTGAAAAGCTCTAATGACGGCTTTACCTCCTGCGAGTGCTGTGGTCGCCGCAGACTGGCTCCGTGCTCCGACTTGACGGGCGCATGGAGACGTGATGCCTCCATGCCGCCGTCAAGTCGAAATCGACATGCGAAGGACGTGTCGATCTTTGGCCCGCCAGAGGTACATTACTCATTAGGCGTTTAAGGGCGACAGCAGCGCTGCGACCGCGAAGTGGCAAGACTTCGGAGAAGGCAAGCCGTGAAGTTGTCAACCGTCTCGGCGTCGACAATAACTCTCGAACCAGTCGTGCTGCGGGACCGGCCACCCCTCTGATTGCTCTGACAGGCACGCCTAGCACCTCGCCATGGATCCGCGGCAGAAGCCAATCCCGCAATGCTTTCAGGAAAGAGAGGAGGAAGACGCATACCAAAACTGCTCCAATCAGTAGCTCCATACGTTGCCTTTCACTGTGTAGGAGTTGTTGCAGCTGCTCGATCTTTGAAGTCTTGTCCTGCAGCAACATTTTCTGCTTCCAAATGTAGTCTAATACGTCATCGCACCTCCGCCATGAGGACGGCCTTGTGCGAGCGCTGTCGTTGAGAACGAAGCGGCCCGAGTGTTCTGTTGCCTTCAAGACAGCCGATTCTCGCTGCAACCTTCATGCCACCTCGCGGTCGTCCCACTCTCGTCGTTCTCTCCCTTGTCACTTCCTCCTGTGTCGCGTCGTTCTCTTCTGCCTCGTCCTGCGACGCCGCCGCCTGCCTTTTTACCCATCTCACAGTAGAGAGGTGTGCGTTTTTTATTTATTGCCCGGCCGCGCGCAGCGCTAATCGGGCGTCCTTTGCTCCTCCCCGAGCTCTACGGGGCGTCAAAAAGTGGATTTAGATGCAGCTGTGAGCGCTGTCAGAGCGGTGTTTCGACACCGATATCGTTCGAGGAGAACGCTGATTCAAAATCCGCTGTTCACACTTCACAGGCAAGTGTAAGCGGAGCAGCTGAGTAGATACAGCGAATCCTTTGTGTTCACACCTGCAAGAGCAGGTGTGAACCGATTTCGGCCTTAGCCGTCGGTATGCCAATAGCGTGCTAGCCAAGTAGTACGCAGTTGGATTCCGAGGGTGTCCCATCACAAGTTCGGCTGTCGACAGACAAGATTGTCCCTTAGTCGACAGCACCCGCCTTTGGACGGTGCTCTGACTGGCTTTGAGAATAGCTGCCACTGAAATCGTTGGGTCGCTTCAGCTCACGAAGTCCCCCCGTGGGCCGACTTGGCCTTTATAAGTTATTCTTCCGATTCTAAGCGTGTGCATGCCACCTCGCTGCCGCAAGCCAGGTCCCTACGCCAAACGTCTCTGAAAATTCTCTATTTCGAGCTTGATCTTACAGAGGGCACCCACCTCCCTCTCCATCCCCGAGCAGCGCTCCCGCCATTTCGAGAAGGTATCAGACACGCCTCTCATACTGTAGAGCCGTACGATACCGTACAGAGAGCCTCACGACCGCACCCCCCTGTATATGACCTACCGCACCCGTACCCGGCTACTGCCGCCGCGTGCGACGTACGTGGCGCCGCTGGCCATCCCGGCTGCTGCCGCCGCCCCTCTCGACGCCGCTCCCCTCGCCGCCGGTATCGACCGCGCCGCCGACGTTGGTCGCGCTGGACGGCAGCGCGTCCCCAGTCTCGCCGTCGCTCTTCTCGCCGTCGCTCGCCTCGCCGCTGGTATTAGGGGCCGCGCTGCCGGCGCCGAGCGTCACCTGCCTCCACGTCTCTTCCT